ATTGTGTCAAACGACTGACTCTGGGGGACTATATCTACCTAATATCTGGAAGCTCCCATATCCGGGTACCACACCCACCGGGTACAAATAGAAATTCTCTTTTTAAAATATTAATTATAATTTTTCACTATTTAAAAAATCAGGACACTGTATGCAGGGCTTTATGAGTAGTCATATTGATATATTTTCTTTATTTGGGCATTGTAAAACAATTTCATGATTTATTTATTTATTTCATATTGAAAATCGAAATACAGAAATACTAGAGGCTTTTTTGTGTTTGAAAAGTCTCATGAATGATCTGAATGGTTTAATAAAAAAAAAAAAATTTAAATTATTGATTATTCGAAATATATAGTCACTTCAGCCATTATACAGTATTAAGACACGAAGTAATATATCGGAGTCAATGTTAAATTCATTGATTTTTGGGGCGATATAGGACAATTTCCTGCTAAATAATTTATATCTGATAACTTTTACGTTGATTTATAATTTAACAAAGGTATATAAAGTTATCTAAAATGAATTCCTTAATGTGATTGGTCAATAGTCATATATAACTGATAAATTGACCAATTCGTAGATGTTACTTGAACATCACTACTTAACTGTTTAACGTTAGGCGAAATCAAAAAATCTGGAAATTATCCGTACTTGGAAAAAATTTAAACGGTAAATATCGATATGGTAATTAACATCGTGTAATATCAATTAAATTAAGTCACGTTTTAAAGCCCGAGCTTTTTTAATAATATTGAAATTTTTCTAATAAAATAACAGTAGCGGTATGGGACGTTTTACACCATCACCATCTGTCTTCAATACAACTAGTGAAATAGATGAATACGTTTCGCAAACCATTGGTACTGACATATCACCAGATCGCGTTCAATACTCATGGTTTTCAATCGCAAATTTGTACTTTAAGGTTGGGGATTATTCCAAGACCGAAAAATATCTACTTGAACTTTTGCGACTACGTTCTTACGATTATGAGGTAAAAGTTTGCTTCCAATTTGGCATTTATGTTTATTACAACTTGTAATAACCCAAGCATACTTAGGCAAACGACCTACTTGGTACCGTTTACAGAAGGCAAGGCAAGCTTGAGGCCGCTTTAGTTTTTTATGAAAGGTAAGGTTAGCCATAATTACTGCTATTTTTGACTTGACAGTTTACTTATTTACTTTTTTGTTTAGAGCTTTGTGTGGCGATAATGCTCCCCAACGTCGTGCACTAGACGGTAATTTTATCCAAAATAATTTTAAGACTTTTTTTTTTCTTTTTTTAATTTATATTAGTACATTAGTACATAATGAATTTCTTATATAAATACAAAGCTGCTGAACTCTGCGTACAGTCAGCAAGAAAGGCGAAAGATGATACTGAAGTAAAAAAATTTACTGATAAGTCATTATTTTGGATTGAAAGGTTTGTCGTTTATTTATTTATAATTTATATACATCACATTATTTACATGTAAATGTTTATAAAAATAGAGCTCGTCAAGTGAATAAAAAATACATTCCTCGAGCTGTACAACTATTACATCAAACATATGTAATTATAGTTCGATATGCAGAAAGACAATCTGATAGGCGTGGTTGCTTAAAACATCGTGATGGAAGTACACCAGGTACATTATTGTACCTTAAAAGACTTAGTTGTTTTTTTTTATTAATCATCCAATTAATTTGTTGTCACTGGAAATTTACTTAGTGACTAGTATTCAGTGGATTGATGATACAGTAAAAAACTTGTTAACGGTTGAAGATACTTTTGTCGATCCTGCATTTCATATTATTCTTTCTAAAGCATTATTGAAACAGCTTGATCATCAACGGTAAAGTTTGCAACGGATATATAAAACGTTTGAGAAATTAACAATATAATTGAGACATACATTCATATATATTTAAGTGTATGGAAACATGTATTACAACGGCGTTATAACTTCGTTGATAGTTTAGAGTGGAATCTCTTTGTCAAGAATAATTTTCCAAAATTAAGAAAATTAGCCATTATTGACAGTGCAAAGGAACTGTTACACGAATCAACAGAGTTAATATTTTTCGCTTGTGATAATGTTGTCAGATTATCATTAAAATTAAAGTAAGTATAATTTATTATATTAGATCACTTTTAATAAATGTTTAATTTAAACTAAATTCAGTAGCATTCATCTAGGCCACGAGACGAATCAGGTAAACTTGTGAAGGAATTTTCGGATTTTATAAAGACGTGGGATACACCTCCATCGCAAAATCATCAAGTAGTTGAAAAATGGACACGTTATCGACAGGTTTCATTTTTAATTTATACAATCTTCTAACAGAAAATAACAGAAATATAAAAATATTATAATTTTAATATTATAATTGATTAGGAATATCAATCTCGAAGCTTACGGCACGATGGATATTTCCAACTTAAACTTGCATCTTCTGACCTGAGTCAGTTCAAACTTTTAACTTCTAGGATAACGCAAAAAAATCAAGAACATCTTTGTGCTGCCTACCTAAAATTCAAAACATGTTTAAATTTTCGTCGTGAGACTTTTCGTGACTCTAATCGTCCCATTACCCATTTTATTTATCTAATGTGTCAACGATTAAGTGATGTTTCTCATCAATTATTGGTTCTGCTACATTGTTTTAATTATGACTGGTTGAATAAAAGTGATTCCGCAACGCATGTATTCTCCCAATATGAAGATGATGTCAGACAAAATTTTGTTTTACCTAGTTATGATCGTCTCCTCATGGTATTGGATCAAAATGTTGGTAACAATCGGCTGACAGAATTAAGTACTCTGAAATGGTTCGTTCGAATGGCAAATCAGATTGATAAGATAGCATTCTGCGCCCCATATGATTTAGATCGGTAAGGATTTTACACACAAAAAAAAAAAATTATATATTTGTACATATTTAAGTAATATATATAAGCTTATATATTTAATATTTTTTTAATCCAGCTTTTTGGCTGTCTCTGCTTGGTATATGGAAAGTGGTGTATTACGAGAATGGTTGCGAAATATCTTTCCGAGATTACAAAATTATTCTGAGGTCTATAATTATATATATACTATATTTTATTGGTTTTTATTAATATTAACGAATATAATTATCTACTAGATTCCGGAACCCGAAGAACACCATGATACACCATCGTCAATCCAAACTTTATCATCATTATTTGCAAATAAAATGACTCTGGATCAAATGGGGACTGGATTAGCTGGTTTTTTGTCAAAACAAGAAAAAATAAAAAAAAATCCAATAATTGAGATACCTACTTTGACAGACATTGAGCTTTTTCTTCTAATTCTACTTATCCAAAGGCATTACCATTGTGTTGTAAATCAAGGGGCGGAATCTTTAGGTCAGATATTATACCTATCATTACAGGAATGTTGGAAATCACGTGAAAGTCAAGTAAAATTTTGGCGAACATTGTTATCGTGGTATGGCAAGGTACGTCAATATACACATATATATATTATCAAACAATTATTTATTATTAATTTATTTGAGCTAAAAAAAGATTTGATTTTTTACTGATAGATTGATCCGGATAAACGAATATATCCAAGTGATTTAATGTCTAATGAAGAGTTCTCTCAATGTATCAAAGAGATTAGAGGTGATATCAACCTAAATGATGACGACTATAATGATCAGATTGAACTGGAAATCCAACATCGTTTTTTTATATTATGATATTACTACATAGATTTAATAGTGTTAAATTCAAAAGCCAATCAAATTTGTTAAATCATAGCTATAAGTTAATAAAATTTTGTTTCACATTTTCAAATTAAGTGATTTAACGATTAGATAAGATATGTTGAATAAAAGTGTTATGCTAAGTCTAAATAGTTGTATCAAATGTGTACACATTAAGTGACAAACCATTATAAAAGCTAAAGTTTCTTCGAAATTCGAGTAGAAATACATAATAATTTTTAGAAAAGTAAAAATCTAATAAAATTGATGTCCTATTCTGTTGATTAATCCTTAACTGTTAACTGCTGATTGATAATGATAATCCGTTGTCACACCTGGAGTTGACCTCTCTAATACAACTCAGGAAACTAATCAAACTAACCTAACCAAGACTAGTTTATAGGATTTGGCGAGTCGGATTATCAAGGCTTAGGTGAAAAAGCCAATCAAATTTGTTAAATCATAGCTATAAGTTAATAAAATTTTGTTTCACATTTTCAAATTGTGATTTAACGATTAGATAGAATATGTTGAATAAAAGTGTTATATTAAGTATCAAATGTGTACACATTAAGTGACAAACCATTATAAAAGCTAAAGTTTTTTCGAAATTTGAGTAGAAATATACAGTCTGACCTCGTTATAGTCACTCTTAATATAGTCACAACCTTGTTATAATCACACTATTTTTTTGGTCTAGTCATTATAAAACATATAAAATTTGACCTTTATTTAGTTACAACTTTTTATAATCACCAAATTTTTGTTTCCCAACCTAGTAATTATAACGAGGTCAGACTGTAATAGTTTTTAGAAAGTAAAAATCTAATAAAAATTGATGTTCTATCTGTTGATTAATTCTTAACTGTTAATTGCTAATTGATAATAATAATCTGTTATCACACCTAGAGTTGACCTCTCTAATATAATTTAGAAAACTAATCAAGCTAATCTAACCAAAACTAGTTTATAGAATTTGGCACGTCAAAGAGACATTGGATAATAACTTAGCAAAGAGGGCTTAGATAAAAGAAATGATAATATAATTATATATAAATATAAATGATTGAAAACAACACAATAAATATTGCAAATTATAATTAAAATGAAATAAACACTTCTATTTAACTATTTAAAATCTACTTATACTTGTTTATTATAAAATTTAACATAAAACTAACCTCTAACCCTAACTTCTAATCCTAAAAATACACTTCAAAAATTTTTATTTTTTTGTAGAATTTCTATTTTTTATATTGTAAACATTTTATTTTAATCTGATTTTATTTTAATCTGCCACAATAAATAATAAATTACAAGTTTTATATGATTCTTAATAATTTAACTTAATAATAGTATTTGTAGTCAATCTCTATTTATTAACTTAACTAAGTTGATATTTAAAATTTAGCTTAGCTAGCTAAGTTAGAGTTGATTAATATTTTTTTTTACCTTCAGAGTTTATTGGAGATTTTATCAATTTTTGTCATAATCTTGTTTATATTCTATTTTTTTTTAGAATTTTTTAGCTTCTATTTTTAATACTATATATCAAGAAAGGTAATATACCAAATCTAATTAGTAATCTAATATAAATCAACTAAGATAATTTTTTAGAAATTGGCTAACTAAGTCAACTAAATTAATAAAAATCAACTATGCAAAATTAACTACAAATACTACTTAACAAATATATAATATATAAAAATATAAGTATTTTTATTTATAAAATTTATATACTTTTATATAAAATGAAACTAAATATAACAATAAATAACTATATAAAGATAGTTATATTTGCAGGAAAAATTCAAATCTATTTATTAAAAGAAATTATATATATGAAAATATATAAAATATTAGAAAAAATCAAAACTTAAAAAAAACAAGTAAAAGGCAAATTTGTAGCCTTTAAATATAATTTCTTTATAAATTATAATACTTAATTGATGGAACAAATTTTTTCTATTAGAGATACAAGATAATAAAGATTTTTTAGCTTTAATACTAGTAAAAATCTTTTTAAAGCTCTTACTCTAAATTAAATACTTTTATCAAAATATCTTAAATATTTTATTTTTATATCTTTTTGTTTTAAAACTCTTTGTAAACTTTTAAAAAGCTAGCAGATTTTTATAACAATAAACACTTTTGTTTATTTCTTAAACACTTATATATTAATAATTTCTTGTTTATTTTCAGGTTTTATATCTATTAATAGTATAACAATTTAAAGAATAAATATAAAGATTAAATTTTTTTGATTAAAATGATAATATTATTTATCTATTAATTTTATTAAAAATTACAAAAAAAATAAGACTAGCTATCATGGCTCTATCTAACTATAAATAAAAGTTTTTTTAAACTAGATTGTTAACTATAGATATAATATATCATTAGGTATTTCTTATATGCCCCTATTATATATATAAGAGTTATTATTGCTAAGTTATATCCTTTTGTAAGCAAAATGGTTCTTTATATATTTAATATTTAACTTTAGATTAATTATATTATAATTAATTAACTTTTATTTTAATTATATAATTAACTAATCATCTGATACTTATTTTTATATTTTTTAAATACCTTAATCAATTTTTAATTATAGTTATACATATTAAACTAATTATTACAAACCTGTTTATAAATCTTATTATATAGTCTTAGCACCAATTTTTGCTATAGAACCAATTTTGATTGTAATACTAGCTATTAGCTATATAAAAAATTATATATCAGAAAATTTTAATTAGTTACTCTAGTTTAATATTAAAACAAAACACCATGTTATATAAATCTTTTAAAGTTGTATTAGAATAAAAATCTAAAAAAGGTCTATCAGCTATAGAAATTCATAAAGCTATTTAAAATAGAAAAATAGCATTAAAATTTTTAAAATCTAATTAAAAATTAAATCAAGAATATTTGCATTAATAATATAGAATATAATATATAATATTCTTACAAAATATGTTTCTTGGATGTAGCGATCTAGTGAAGTAGTGGGGTTGCTGCACCTCCAAGCAGCAGGTCTAGAGTTCGAATCCCACGGACGACGATTTTGAAAATTAGACCTGTGATACGGTTAACGGTTATCAACGAT